CGATACGTCTGTCCTAACAACAGGCTGCTTGGTAACAGATGGTTCAATGTATGACTTAAGGCGATTGTAGTGTATCTTTCTAGGATATATTCTGCCATTCCGCTTGCAGTTTGTAAACACCATCCTCACTCACATTAACAACTTGAAATGGGCCCTGCCATCAAGGAGCCAACTTATTCCGTACATTAACTGGATCATCAATCCAAACTTTTTCACCAACTTGGTATACACGAAATCTTTGTTTCATGATAATGTTGTTGTTTGTGTTTTTGGATAGTGATGTTATTGGACACTAAATCCGTAGCTCTGGTAATACGCTTATCTAAATCGGTAATACTCTTGGGTAGTAGAAATGGGATGAAATGTGTTGGGGCCATAAAGCACCTGACTGGCCAATCTTGGTTCTCGTCTATGGACAAGGTAAAATGGGCTGAATCCGGTAGTTTCATGAACCATTGAATTGTACTGCAATTCAATTTGACTGAGTAAGGTGTCCCACTCCTTGCCTTCACCATAAAGCTGTTTAGCCAGTTGATCCTTCAGTGTGCGGTTAAAGCGCTGAATCATCCCGTCTGATTGCGGGTGATACGGGGTAGTTTTGGTTTTGTCGATTAATAAATATTTACAGATTCCCTTCAATAAATTTGACTCAAACTGAGCCCCATGAATACACCCTAATACGCCATGTCACTTGATAAAATCTTTCATATGCACTTGGAATTGTGTATAAAGTTATATATTTGGTAAAGTAATCACCTACTACTAACACGTAACGACTACCTCTGGCTGACACAGGCAACTCTGTAATATTGGCTGCAATTCTCTCATATTGATGGTTGCTGGCACTGTATCCATTGGAGCACGTAATCCAGGGACAGGTCTTTGTCTAGCCTGACACGGTAGACATTCCAAACAAAATTTCTTCACATCACGTGCAATATAAGGCCAGTAACAATTAGCTGAAATGAGTCTTGTCAGAATTATAATGTCCTGAATTAGAACCATGAAATGATGTTAATACTTCGCTTTGTAGAGAACTAGGTATGATGGACTGTACAATTTCACCCTTACGTCTATCATGAGTAATGCGGACCATTAAACCATCATAAATATTTAACAACGATGAAACTGCCTACATAATCGTTCATAATACAGGGTTTACTGTAGCACGTGACTGGACACACATTTTGAACTCCTGTAACTCAGGGTCTCTATCCGGTTCATTAAGTAATTTAATATTACGTTGATTATGAAGTGAAAAACCATCACAAGAAGTTAGGGCATGTACATCCTGAACTTTACAGTCTACAGTATTCCCTTACAGGTACTATCTTCCACTATAACATCCATCTCACTCTTATACAGTATACATATATATATACAGTATACATATACTGTCTCTTATACACATCTAGATGTGTGTCTTACCCGATTTGTACACAATCTTCCAATTGAACATATTCAAATCAAGAATCCATCGTGTTTGACGACCTGTCACATCATTTTCTATATGTAACCCCTGTAAACCTGTCAAGGGTTTGTGGCCTATAACAATAAGAATGGTTACCACGCAAATAATGCTTAAAATGCCTGACACTCCACACAATAGCATACAACTCCCTATCAAAGTAGCTTTCACTTTTGCTGAGAGCATGCTGGCATAAGCGATAACCCGTTCCTTACCCCCCTGAATTTGAGTCAATACAGAGCCAATAGAAAATTCTGAAGCATCTGTGAAAAGTTGAAATTGTAAATTAAAATCAGGATACGCCGCAATTGGTGGGTTATCAAGTTTTCTCTCAATATGTCAAAAGCATGATCACACTCATCTGACAAACAAAAGGTACGCCTTTGTGTGTTACTGTAGTAGTTGCAGAGGACGAACAATTGAGGCAAAGTTTTTCACGAAACGCCTGTAATATGAGCAAAGACCCACAAAACCTCCGACCTGGGTGACATTACGTGGAATAGGCCAACGTTTGACCTTCTCAAGATTAGCAGGGCCAGGCTCTATGCCGGCTTTGGAAACAACATGAGCCAAAAATGTGACACGCATTTTTATTGGGTCAAATTCTGTACCGCCACCAGTTAAAATAAATTTAATTTTTTCTAGACGCTTTACTATGATTTGATTTTCATTACATTTTGCTATTACTGTATATGATTTTACATGTGTAATTTATGATTTAGCTTTGAAAAATAACTTTGTCAAATTAAAATTAATTTTAAACCCATTTTATTATTTTCCGTCCCGCCACTTATTAAGAATTCCGTACTACCACCATTATGAAGTATAATTACTTTTTAAAAGTGTTTGCATTGATTCCATTTCCATAATTCTTAACAATATTATGATTATAAAAGTGTAATTTATGATTTTGGCTTAAAAAGTAATTTTGGAAAATTTTAAACAATTTTAAACTAAAATAATTATTTAATTCCGTCAAACCTTTTGGAATTCCGTCCCGCCACCATAAGAACATTGAAAGCTACATGATACCTTTAAATAATGTAAAACTATTGATTTGATTCCACAAAGGTTGTGATGCCATGATTATAAAGTTCTTTAGTACTATCACTGCCATTTCTGCCAAAATGTGCAGGGGGTATAAATTACCCCTTAAAATACAAGCTTACAATACATAATGGTCTATATATAATGATGATTAGACCTACAGTATCAGTGTATTTCTCCAAATCTTTAATGTCTTTACCTTCTTAAAATGTTCCATACACCTACGGCATGAATATAAGTATCAGCAATGTTTAACATTGCTGATATTTATATTCAATAATATTCTTTTCAATTTTACAGATAAACTTTATTTTAAAGAAAGCATCGAATTTGGGGTAATTTTAAAAATTTCCGTCCCGCCAATTTCCATCCAGCTACCCTGACCATTTTATTTAATTTTATTTTATATGGCTCAGCGAAACATTTAAATTTATTGATTATGGTGATGAAGCATTAGTTGCTACTCAAAAGTATGTATTTAAATTTACAGCACAATTTTAAAGTTTGAATTAATTGAGAAGATAACATGTTGTCTCATTTTTATCCCATTTGTTCATTCCGTCCCACCACCAAAATGTTTTTCATTGCCATGGTGATTTGATAAGGTACTGTGTTTTCTGTTTTGCATCAAATTGAAGTAGGTATCATTACCTTGCTAAGAATCATAAAACAAGTTTCATAAACTAGGCAGTTAGAGAACAAGATCTAAATAATGTCCAAATTTCCATCCCGCCACTGGAGGGGGGCTTTGGATTAGGCCCTGAAAATAAACGTTAAGCCGACCCTGAGCCGACCTAAAGTTAATCCGACCTGAGCCGGCCCAAGTTCGCTCTGATTGCAGTCGATTTTGACATCTTATCTAACCACAACATTCATTTCAACTGACTTGCGCGAAAAAACACCATTAAGAAATAAATTGTTAATAAACTGTAGAGTAAATTGTATTCAGTTGAACTATTGTTTTGAATAAAAGTTGTTATATATATATATATATATAAGGTCTCCAACCTAACTAATTATTACTTTCTTTTCTACAGTTGAAGAATTCCAGTAGAGAAAAAATATATTGGCCTATTACAAGCTCAAGAAACCCCGCTTTTTGTATAGCACACATGAATTTAAGTTTATATTCTAAAATCATAACACTGTATAGTGGTATCATTCTTTCTGAACATCATCCTCACCAACCACGTGTGTTTTGTGTCGACTCGACGTTCGTGAAGCTACTCACGTGACCCCGAAAACAGAAAAAAAAATAATCGTTTTTTATGAGCGAAGCTGGTTCTCAAAGCGTTAAAAATTGTTTGTGAATGAACCTAACACAAAAATAATTATTATTGCTAAATAGATAGATCTCGATGCTACTTATTCACAATCTGTGTCCCCGGTCTGTGACCAAACATTGACAGCAACCTTCAGACTTGCATAGGCCTATACAGTTTACCCATACAAGTATGGAGTTTCAAAATCGCGAGTCTGGTTTTGCAGTAAAGTTGAGCTGCGCTAACTATAGGCCTTGGTTATTATAATAATTATCGTCGCCATAATCATGAAGCAGAATGCAACGCTTAAAAAATTGAAAAAGTATATGGACAATATTCAAAATTATAGGTTCATGCTTCGCGCGAATTCCATGTGTTTATTCTAGGTTGTGATTTACCGTTCCGCCATCACATAATGCGATCGCCTCAATCATTTTGTCTTGCAATTCATCGACCCGGCCCAAAGTGTGAACGTTCGTAAGGTGGCCCTGGGCTGACTTAAAACAATCACTGTGAACGAAAATGTCGTTGAGTCGGCCCTGAGTCGGCCGTAATTTAAGGCGGCCCTGGGCCGGCCTAATAAGTGTGAATGGGCTCTTAGAGAACGGGATCTAAATAATTGTCCAAATTTCTGTCCTGCCACTGGAGGGAGGGGAGGGGGGTTTGGATTAGGCCCTTTATGCATATTAATTTTCCTATAATCTACACAGGAACGAAAGGTGTTATCCTTTTCTTAACCATAACTATAGGTCAGCTCCGTGGGCTATGACTAGGCTCAATGATGTCCTTATCTAATAACTCATCAGAC